CAGCTGGACTCTTTCCAATTTGTCCACATCCCTTCTGTAGGGGGGGGGGACCAAAACTGGACATAATACTCCAGGTGTGGCCTTACCAGTGCTGAATAGAGGGGAATAATAAATTCCCTTGATCTGCTAGCAATGCTCCTACTAGTACAGCCCAATATGCCATTGGCCTTCTTGGCAACGAGGGCACATTGATGACTCATATCCAGCTTCTTGTCCACTGTAACCCCCAGGTCCTTTTCTGCAGAATTGCTGCTTAGCTGTAGCGGTGCATGGGATTCTTCCTTCCTAAGTGCAAGACTCTACACTTGTCCTTGTTGAACCTCATAAGATTTTTTTTGGCCCAATCCTCCAATTTTTCTAGGTCACTCTGGACCCTATCCCTACCCTCCAGCGTATCTACCTCTCCCCCAGCTTAGTGTCATCTGCAAACTTGCTGAGTGTGTAATTCATCCCATCATCCAGATCATTAATAAAGATGTTGAACAAAACCAGCCCCAGGACTGACCCCGGGGCACTCTGCTGTGATACTGGCTGTCAACTAGACACCAAGCAGTTGATCACTACCTGTTGAGCCCGACAATCTAGCCAGCTTTCTATCCACCTTATAGTCCATTCATTCAGCCCATTCTTCTTTAACTTGGTGGCAAGAATACTGTGGGAGACCGTATCAAAAGCTTTGCTAAAGTCAAGGAATAACACGTCCACTTCTTTCCCCTCATCCACAAAGCCAGTTATCTCATCATAGAAGGCAATTAGGTTAGTCAGGCATGACTTGCCCTTGGTGAATTCATGCTGACTGTTCCTGATCACTTTCATCTAAGTGCATCAGAACTGATTCCTTGAGGACCTGCTCCATGATTTTTCCAGGGACTGAGGTGAGGCTGACTGGCCTGTAGTTCCCCAGATCCTCCTCCTTCCCTTTTTTAAAGATGGGCACTACATTAGCCTTTTTCCAGTCGTCCAGGACCTCCCCCGATCGCCATGAGTTTTCAAAGATAATGGCCAATGGCTCTGCAATCACACCCGCTAACTCCTTTAGCACCCTTGGATGCAGCACATCTGGCCCCATGGACTTGTGCTCGTCCAGCTTTTTTAAATAGTCCTGAACCACTTATTTCTCCACAGAGGGCTGGTAACCTCCTTGCCATGCTGTACTGCCCAGTGCAGTAGTCTGGGAGCTGACCTTGTTCCACATAGGGATCATCACTCCAAGAAGAAACAGTCTTATAGCTATAGGTAGCACTACCAACAAGCAGCCACAGTTTGCACTGATGCATTTTTACCAGTAGGTGGTCCCCAATGGCTGCAATCAAGGCAAATCCCCAGGACAGAAAATGACTCTCCTTCCTCATGCTGTGTCCATCCCACTGGGCTAAAAGATTCATTGTTATCTATTACACCATGACATCCGTGACCAGCTTGGTGACTCAGCAAGACACTATCTTTCTACTGGCAGCTGAGCTGCTGCCAGAGCACAGAAGATTCCCTGACAAACACTTACAGATTCCTATGTTCATCTATCTAGTCTAGGAAGTACCCTGATCTCCATCCTCCCGTGTCTAGTTTAGAGGCAGCCCCCACCTCATGCTCTCTGTATCTATTCTACAGCCAGTCTAGTAAGTTCCCTGCCCCTTAAGGCTCCCAGGTCCCTGTGACCATACCACTAACCAGTCCTACAGGCCCTCATTGTGAGCAAATTCATCATACTAGCATCTCTGTACCTACCTTACTGGCCAGCAGAGAAGGCTCTCTACCAGCAGTTTCCCCCATTCGTGTTCTTACGACCTCTATGGCCTGATCGTTGGACTAAGGGACTTGTTACCAATTGAAAAGGAATTGCCCCTAACACCTGAAGGAAACAGGAGAGGGGATACGGGAAACAACAGTCAAAGGTGTCTAGGGGTGCGGGTGGGGGAGGAAATCAGTAAAATTGATGCAAGCCTGCTGTTGTGCCCTCTTGGAGATGTTGCCCTACATGAGTGAAGTGACTCCACCAAAACTGTTCTCAGCAATGTTTCCTCTGACTTTTCTTGACCCAAATCCAGGGCCTGTACTCAATCCTCATCCTCTGACATTTCTTCTGGTTGCCACTCTCAACCATACACTACCTGAAATCTTGCCATCTTGACTTTTGTGACGGTCTTCGCACGATTCTCCTAGCTCTCAGATCACTCCTTCAGCATATTTTAATTGATCCTCTTCTGTCACTTTCTATATGGTCCTCCAAAGTTCTATCCTCAGTCCTCTCCTCTTTTTCCTTTATGATCTCTTCATGGGTGATTTTACCCAGCTACACAGTTTCAACTACCATCTTTTGCCAAAGATTCTGAGATACCTCTCCACTCCTGACTGTCTGCCTCCACCCACTGCCACATCTCTGCCTGTATGTCATCTCCCCCTGAATGTTAAACTGTCAGGTCATGTTTAACATACTCAAAAACAAATTCCTGATATTTCCTCCCAAGCCCTCTCCACTCTGTCACTAATGATATCTTTCTCAATCACTTTCTCTGACTCCTCCCTCTTTCACCTCACAAATTCAGACTGTCTAAATCATACTATTACTTCCTAGATTACATTATGATCCATCCTCTTCTTTCTGTCCAGACAGCATAAACCCCATTGGCCAGGCCCTCACTATCTCCTGTCTTGAACATTGTTCCTTCCTGTGGTATTGGTAAGGTGGCAAGTCCCAGCCCCAAAGGGTTAAATTAATTACCCTTGTTCTCCTTTTTCAATATAAAACAGTTAAGTGTGGTCCACTACAGAGTGACTATCATGAAACATTTTAAACTTTCCCTGAAACACATCAAGAGGAGAAGCAGTTAATGCATTAGAAAATCAAGTAACCCTTTAATTTTAACAGTTTCCCTCATTCTCTTCTTCTTCTGCACCTACCATCTCCTAATGGTTCACCCCTCCGTCTTCCTATTCAACAAATCAAGCCAGTCTCTTCCGCCTATTTGGCAGCTTCTAACATGAAACAGTGTAACACTGTTGCCAAAAAAGCAAACGTCATTCTGGGATGTATTAGCAGGATGTAAGCAAGACATGAGAAGTAATTCTTCCGCTCTACTCCGCGTTGATTAGGCCTCAACTGGAGTATTGTGTCCAGTTCTGGGTGTCACATTTCAGGAAAAATGTGGACAAATTGGAGAAAATCTAGAGAAGAGCAACAAAAATTATTAAAGGTCTCGAAAACATGACCTATGAGGGAAAATTGAAAAAATTGGGTTTGTTTAGTCTGGAAAAGAGAAGACAGGGGACATGATAACAGTTTTCAAGTACATAAAAGGTTGTTACAAGGAGAAGGGAGAAAAATTGTTCTTCTTAACCTCTGAGGATAGGACAAGCAGCAATGGGCTTAACTTGCAGCAAGGGAGGTTTAGGTTGGACATTAGGAAAAACTTCCTAACTCTCAGGGTGGCTAAGCACTGGAATAAATTGCCTAGGGAGGTTGTGGAATCTCTGTCACTGGAGATTTTTAAGCACAGGTTAGACAAACACCCATCAGGGATGGTCTAGATAATACTTAGTCCTGCCATGAGTGCAGGGGACTGGACTAGATGACCTCTCAAAGTCCCTTCGAGTCCTATGATTCTATGAACACTACTATGTCTTCTTCCATGCTAACCTTTATGGCATGCAACACCTTCCCCAAATGATCCATAAGGCCATCATATCCATTCCTCCAAAGCTCTCGAGACTCACCTCTGTGATTCACTTATATCAGCTGACTAATGAAGACTTAGGGGTCAGAGAGCACTTTTTAAAATTATAAACAAGTATTTTACTGCATCTCTTCAGGGCAGGAATTGCATCTTCAAATGTTTAACACTTTGTGCAGTAGAGCTTTGTGGTAATACAAATATTAAAGATAAAGATATAAGTCATCGTGGATAGTTCTCTGAAAATGTCCACGCAGTGTGCAGAGGCAGTCAAAAAAGCAAACAGGATGTTAGGAATCATTTAAAAGGGGATAGAGAATAAGACTGAGAATATATTATTGCCCTTATATAAGTCGATGGTACGCCCTCATCTCGAATACTGCATACAGATGTGGTCTCCTCATCTCAAAAAAGTTATACTGG